ATATATTAAATTTAAATTATTTTCTAAAAGCAACCGACCAAATTTTGTCTCACAAACGGTTTTCATCTTTTTGAAAAATATGTTAATTTTTATGTTTTGATAATATGATAATAATGTTTTTAGAATGTTCCTTTATCCTAAGAATACTTTATTCAGAGATATTATCATTAATGGAAATCGAGCCTTGATATTTAACGATTATACTCCTTCTAATTGTATTGATTCCATTCTTAGTATTCCTATCACTGATAGTAAGTTGAATTATTATTGTGGAGATGCTAGTATATTTTTCTAACAAATTAGTTTTCTTTCTTTCAAGCTAATGTGCCAACGTTCGATTGAAATATACTTATTTGGTATAAAGGCTGTTCAATTAAAGTAGTTTTACACTCCTGGAGGATTGCTCAAAATGCTTTAAAAACCAATGATATTCTTAGTAGTGAAGTGTTGATCTTAATAGTGATCTTGTGTTTTTTTTTTTTTTTTGAATAATTTTGAATCTCATAATCACTTTTTTTAAGTGTTCTTTCTCCCATTCTATTCTTCGCACTCTACACTTCATGTTGGTTACTTTATGTCCCATACTACTTTATTTCAAGCTCTTTATTATTTTGATAGTATTTTCTGTAAAGTTCATAATTGTTTTTATCTTTTCACTATTAATACAATTGCTTATCATATTTGACAGGAAATAAATTATAGAATTTTCATAAATGTTTTACCCCCATGCAGTTGCTTATTAAGATTATTTATTGGTCTGTTAAGCAAGGGTACCATAGAAAGAAGTTTGATATGATATCCCTGGGCATATTGCAACTCTTTATAAAATACAAGTGTTGCTATCATTCTATTAGTTTTTGTTTCATATTAATAGTGATTTTGCTTCTCTTCTATGTAGGCTACTTCTTTTTGTTTCTTTTTTTAGACCTTATTCTCTTTTCATTTGAGAGCTCTTATGGGTTCTTTTTCTAGTTGGAATTCTATTATCGGATTCAATTGTTTTTCTGTCTGCTAGCAATTAAACAGACACTATTTATTTCATAAAATTAGAAGTGCCATATGAGTGTTCCATAAAATCTACATATAGTCTATTTTTTTAGATGATTGGTTATTTTGTTTGGTCATCTAAGTGATTTGTGCTTGTGGTCTCCTTAAACCTAATATTTTTTTGATAGGTTCAAATATTGCTTTGATTGGTATTTTTCATGATTTAATACTAATTTTGAAGTATTTTGACTTTGAGCAATGTTAATTTCCAGTCGTACATTGTGAATCAACCATATTTGAAAAATACTAAGATTTTCTTCACATTTTCATTTGCCTGAAGGTTCCACAATGTTTTCCATGGGCCTTGTATTTTTGAGCACTCTCCTTTTTCTCTGATTTTAATTTGTGGGATTTAATCTTCTTCTTTAGTTTTACAGTTTGCTTTTGTTTTCTTTTTCTTCGATAGCAATCACATCACTCAGTATCATTGTTGTTGTTGGATAGCTGTTGCTCTTCTTAGAAGATCTCGATTGTCATCTATTTTCTTCTTCCATATCTGGATAATTGGTTTTAGTCTTTTCCTCTATTGCAGGGTTTCTCTTGCAGTGGATGGCAAATTTTTATTTCTAGAGCTGAGATTGATTTTTCTCTTTATTGGAAGTTATTTATCACAAGTGAAGGTTGCATGCTTGGATATTGACTTTTTCTTCAACAAGTTTTAAGCTGCTCATGTTAATCTCCTTTTTCTCATTATCTTCTCCTTTTGGAGTTATTTTTTGCGAGCATTTACTAATGAATAAAAAGATGGATTTGACAATAAAAATATGATAATAAGTGTTATTTTCATATGGTACTTGTAAATATTAAAGTTTTGGTGTAAGATAGGTAAATCTATTAGACTTCATGTATGTAAATGTCTCTTATTTTATTTTAGTTTTAGTAAAATTGGACGTAAAACTTTATTTTTAATAAAAAAGAAAAAACTCGCGAGATCATAGACAACTGTGGTTAATAGGGGTGTAAACGAGCCGAACACGAGCGGGCCCGAGCTCAGCTAGTGTTCGGTTGGTTAAAAAATACCACTGTTCGTGTTCGACTCGTTTATATTTCGAACACAAAAAGTATGTTCGTGTTCGATTTGTTTATATTTCGAACAAAAAAAGTATGTTCGTGTTCGACTCATTTGCTTAGCTAGCCGAACACGAGTTGTTCCCAAACAAAGAGTCGTTTTGATAACCTTAATCACACAACCATAAGATGTTAATGGTCGGGGCAATATTTAAATCCTATTGTTTATATTAAGCATCATTCAAATATAATTGAAAGTATTTTTATTCTATTTTTTAATTAATAATTTTAATTGATTATAATTCTATGTAGCCTTGTAGTCAATTAAATTAAAAAAAAATATTTCCCTTCAATTATATATATATATATATATATATATATATATATAATTGAAGGGAAAATTTTTCTGTCCGGACTCAGGGCATAGCTCTACTTGCGGACTCCAACGAATATGTCACCACGTGCGCTACGTTGTGAAGGTTATTTCATGATTATTGAAGTGAAACCACAGATGTTATTTTGAGTTATTTTGGACTTATTAAAGAAAAACCTACATATTCCATTTCAATAACACAAAAATAATCTTGAAATAACAATTGTGGTTCCACTTCAATAACCCGGAAATAACATTGCAGAGATTATTTTGGGGTCATTTTTTGGTTATTGAAGTGAAAGATATGAGTTTCTCTTCAATAACCCAGAAATAATTCCGAGATAACATCCACGTTGTTATTTCAGGGAACATGTTTTGGGTTTAATAAAGTGGAACCACGAATATTATTTCAGGGTTATTTCGAGGTTATTTCGGGGTTATTGCGGAGTCCGTGGTTTCACCTTAATATTTTTAAGTGGGCCCGATATGAAACACATGACGTTATATTACTGGAGTCCGCATGGAGCTACGTCCGGAGTCTATATAAAATTTTTTTTCTAATTTGATGGGTAGTATTTGGAGCTAAAATGAGCCCAACATGAACTAAAATTAACTTAAAAGAACGATAGCGGTTTTGACGTGCTAAACCATGGATAAAAATAGACATGTTGTGGTCTCGCATAAATACTTAACAACAAAAAAAAAAGGGAAATTGAGGATAAAAAGACCGATCAGCAACCACGAAATCTTTTATACTATCGTCAAGTTCTTCTTCCGAATAAAGTCACATCCGCATCTCTGAAGCCACTCGGAAGTAGGATATCGAAAGGAAAGAGGACGCAAAATATCCTTTTTCTGATGGCGGCTCTGTCGCTGTCCGCTGCTTGTTCGCGCACCTCCATGCCCAGCCGCTCTTCTTCGCCGCCCATGTTGTTCTCCATCTGGAAGCCTGCCTCCAAACCCTCATCAGTCTCGTGGGCATCTTCCATTCCCGACATTGCGATCGCCATACACAGTATAGTTGGAATTTCATCTCCACTTGCACACAACAGTCAGGTCCGATCATCTTCTTCCACATTTTTTCTATTTTTTTTACTTCAAATTCCGTTGATTGCTTTCTTATATTCGATATTTGTGTGTGCTATCTGCGGTTTCAATGGGCTAATTAGAAACGGTGAATTAAGAGTTGCAGATGAGTGAAGGGCCTGAAGAAGCGAGGCTGGGGATTTGATGGGATATATCTTTTTATTGTTATTTTTTGCCTTTAGCAATCGCTTAGAAGTAAGAATGACATTTATGTGGTTTTTGTGGAATTGGTTTTAGAGCAGTTTATGAAAAGGTCCCACGGCTTATAAATGGCTGTTTTGGGGAAAGTTCATAAAATGAAATGAAAATTTAGCAATTCACGCATTGTTCATGAATTTACAGCTATTTCATGCTAGAATTAAGTGGATGAACATACAATTTGATTTCCTTAGTTTTGAACTACAGTACATAGACATAAACCCAATAAAGTGGGTAGATGAAGCATTATTTTTTACTTCAAAAATCCGGAAGGCAAAAATGATGGTGTCTAGTCCGGTTAAAATAACTTTAATTATTAGTAGATATTAGTTACGAAGGGCCGTTCTTCCTCTAACTCAAAGAAGATGTCATTACAAAGCAGGTGAAAGCAAGTTATTACAAGTATCCCTCGTGATGGACATAAGTAAATTGATGAGGTAGATGAATGTAATCACATTAGCCCTCTTCTTAGAGGCGAAGGTGATATGAACTTATGACATAAATATAAGATGGCATTGAAAGGTTAAATGTCTGCTAATTGGGGGTTGGGGGGGCGCTTGTTAGATAGGTTGTGAAGGTTACTGTCGATGTTTGAAGCAGTCCTCCCTTTGAGGTGGCTCTTCTTAGAGGTGAAGGTGATATGAACTTATTACAGAAATATAATATGGCTTTGAAAGGTTAAATGTCTGCTAATTTCCGCTAATTGGGGGGGGGGGGGGGGGGGGGGGGGCTTTTGAGAAG